CGTTCATCCGCCACACATCCCTAGCATAGCAAACACGCAACTTTCCCCCTCCGGTTCATCTGTCTGAAAACGCGGAACACCGGGGATACTTTCCCGGATGTTTCCCCCTTCGTCGGTATCACCTCCTACCGCATTAGGGCATACCTAGCATCGCGTTCTGCCTCCTTATGTTTTGTGATGCTTTGTTTGCTCCGTATTTACTGTTTCTTCCCCCTTTCCTTCTTCGGTAGACTACGAGACCGACGCTGCTGCTGCCCAGTTCAACTACGGAGTTGACGACCCCTCCTTCTTGCCAGAGCAACCAAGCAAGCCCCCCCCTTGATCACCAGATATCGCCTATTCTCCTCTATACTGCTTGCATTAGAGTAGTGTAGCATGTTACTGCTTTCCGTTAATCCTATTCTGATGCATAGCATGTCATTGTTGCTACAGTCATTGATACCTTACCCGCAATCCTAAATGCTTACTATAGGATGCTAGTTTATCATCATTGGCCCTACATTCTTGTCAGTCTGCCTTGCTATACTATTGGGTCGTGATCACTCGGGAGGTGATCACGGGTATATACTATACAGATGGTGACTAAAGTCGGGTCGGCTCATTGAGTGCCCGCGAGTGATTCACGGATTGGGGGCTAAAAGGACCTTTGTCCTGACGGCCCTCTGTGTGGATCTTTGTGGCGGAGCGACAGGGCAAGTTGTGACCACCTAGGTGAGAGGTGGGCCTGGCCCTGGTCGGTGTTCGCGGTTGCTTCATAATAACACGCTTAACGAGATCTTGGTATTTGATCTGAGTCTGGCCACTGGCCTATACGCACTAACCAACTACGTGGGAAAGATATGGGCACTCGATGTCGTGGTATCAGCCGAAGCCTTCTAGACGTCAGCGACTGAGCGGCGCGCACCGGATTGGAACGTAAGCCTACTCTTGTATTAAGGGGGCTAGTTCTGCTTTCGGCCGCCCACGCAACGTGCAGGTATGCAATGGGCGATGGGCCCAGACCCCTGCGCCATAGGAGTTAGACCAGCATGCTGACCTCTCTATTAGGCCTAGGTGGGGCTGCGACGTGTTGATCTTCCGAAGCCGGGCATGACCCAAGAAAGTGTGTCCGGCCAAATGGGATCGAGCGTGTTGGGTTATGTGGTGCACCCCTGCAGGGAAGTTTATCTATTCGAATAGCCGTGTCCCTCGGTAATAGGACGACCCGGAGTTGTACCTTGACCTTATGACAACTAGAATCGGATACTTAATAAAACACACCCAGACAAGTTCCACAGACAACCCGGTGATCGCTTTTCCACAGGGCGACGAGGGGAGGATTGCCGGGTAGGATTATGCTATGCGATGCTACTTGGAGGACTTCAATCTACTCTCTTCTACATGCTGCAAGACGAAGGCTGCCAGAAGCGTAGTCTTCGACAGGATTAGCTATCCCCCTCTTATTCTGGCATTCTGCAGTTTAGTCCACCGATATGGCTCTTTACACATATACCCATGCATATGTAGTGTAGCTCCTTGCTTGCGAGTACTTTGGATGAGTACTCACGGTTGCTTTTCTCCCTCTTTTCCCCCTTTCCTTTCTACCTGGTTGTTGCAACCAGATGTCGGAGCCCAGGAGCCAGACGCCACCGTCGACGATGACTCCTACTACACCGGAGGTGCCTACTACTACGTGCAGGCCGCTGACGACGACCAGGAGCAGTTTAGGAGGATCCCAGGCAGGAGGCCTGCACCTCTTTCGATCTGTATCCCAGTTTGTGATAGCCATCTTATGGCAAACTTGTTTAACTAATGTCTGTACTCAGATATTGTTGCTTCCGCTTACTCGTTTGTGTCGAGCACTTGTATTCGAGCCCTCGAGGCCCCTGGCTTGTAATATGATGCTTGTATGACTTATTTTATTTTAGAGTTGTGTTGTGATATCTTCGCGTGAGTCCCTGATCTTGATCGTACACGTTTGCATGCATGATTAGTGTACGATTGAATCGGGGGCGTCACACACCATCTTGTTACCCTTAATAGCAATGATACATACATGTCATTTCCCCTTCTGTCACTAGGATTGAGCACCGTAAGATCGAACCCATCACAAAGCACCTCTTCCTATGGCAGGAAAAATCGATCTAGTTGGCCTAACTAAACCAAAGATTCGAAGAAGAAATACGAGGCTATAAGTAATCACGCATATAAGAGATCAAAAGACTTAGATAACGTTCATGGATAGAAACATAGATCTGATCATAAACTCAAAGTTCATCAAATCCGAATAAACACACCGCAAAAAGAGTTACATCAAATAGATATCCAAGAGACCATTGTATTGAGAATCAAAAGAGAGAGAGGAAGCCATCTAGCTACTAACTACGGACCCGTAGGTCTACAATGAACTACGCATGCATCATCAGAGAGGCACCAATGAGGATGATGTACCCCTCTGTGATGGTGTCTAGATTGGAACTGTGGTTTCTGGAACTTGCGGCGGCTTGAATTATGTTTCGTCGACTCCCCTACACCCTGTTTGGATGTAGGAAAATTAGCTTGGAATTGCCAATCTAGAATTACCATGCAAATTTCTGTTGTTTGGAGTGGTACCGAATTTGGCCTCGGAAAAGTTGGCCCAATTCCAAGCGATCCACCCGCGCATGTCCACCCCTCGTGCAAAGTTTCCGAGCGGGAAAGCTCAAAAAGGCTCGGAAACGCCCGCAACCCCACCCCCCGTACCTGTTCGCTGGACGAGCTCGTCTCGCTCACGCGCATCTCCCTCCCGACTCCCCTGAAGCAGTCGGCGGCAGCGGCGGTCAGTTCTCCGGCCCTCCTCTCCCTCTCCCATTCGTCCCCTCCCTCCTCTTCCTCCCATCCGTCCCCTCATCATGTTCTCCGGCCATGGCGCGGCCTCCTCCAGCGAGGCCCTCAAACCCTAGATTTGGTCGGGGATTTCCGGCAGGAATAGGTCGCCCGCAGGGGAACGATGGTGGTAGTGGAACGACGGCGGGAGTGCCGCCATCCCCTCCGTGTGAAGCTATAATTTTTGTGGTGTCCATAGGAGAACTAGAATTTTTGTGGTGTTCATTGTAGCTCCTTAAATGCAGTCCAGTTCAAGGGGATTTGTTTGATTTTGTGTGTTGCTAAAGTATGATTTGTTTGAACTATGCAGGTTTCCAGGGGATTTAGGAGGTCAAATTACCGTGGTGCCAAGGTATATTATCTACTCCTACTTCATGTATGTACTGTGATTTTGTTTTTTCATTTATACACATGTTGTTGTATGGTTTATTATGTACCAATGCTCTGAATAATTCATGGACAAATGGTGTGTGCATTGTAGCTTTTTTCATCATGTCTCAATAAGAATTGGTTGCCTACATTACCGAAGAGAACAAAAGAAGAAAAAGAAAGAGGATATTGTCAACAAAGCAGTATTTCGAAATGTCATGTCTAGCATTTGTGTATCTTAGTTCTCAAAGGGCACCGAGGAATCTCGGATGCTTCGATGATGATGAGGAAAAGGTTGCATATCAGAAGTATATATTGAAACAAACTTATGAGGGGTCTGAGACAACTTGCTATGATAATCTACGCTTAACTAAAAGAAACTTCCATGATCTTTGTGCTATGTTGCGTGAAAAGTGTGGTCTCAAAGATAGCACGTTTGTGGCAGTAGAAGAAAATGTTGATATGTTCTTACAAGTTGTTGGACATGGACTTAAAATGAGGATGTTGGGTGGCACGTACCAGTGTTCTTTAGAGACTATCAGTAGGCATTTCTCTATTGTGTTATCAGCCATCCTATCTCTAACTAGGGAGTTTATCAAGCTTCCAGATCCTTCTATCACCCCTCCCGATGATTACAAGTGGAAGTGGTTTCCTAATGCACTTGGAGCACTAGATGGGTGTCATATTCTGGTGTTTGTTAATGTTGCTGACAAAGGGAGGTATAGGAATAGGCACCAAGATATCAGCACTAATATGCTAGGTGTGGTTGACTGGAACATGAAATTTCTCTATGTTCTACCTGGTTGGGAGGGTTCGTCATCATACTCGAGAGTGCTAAAATATGCTATGAGAATCGATCGCGAAGATGCATTTGTTGTACCACAGGGTATGACTCTTTCTCTTTGCGTTTCATTTCTCATATGTACTTGTTAGCTAACTTATGTACTTGTCAATAGGAAAGTACTATCTTGTTGATGCTGGCTATACCAATGGACCTGGATTTCTATCTCCATTCAGATCCACTCGATACCACTTGAAAGAGTGGATGGCAAGTCAACAGCAACCCCAAAATGAAAGAGAGTTGTATAACTTGCGCCATGCTCGTGCTAGAAATGTTGTGGAGAGAACCTTTGGCTTGTTGAAGAAACAATGGGCCATCCTTCTTGTTCTTTCTTTGACATAGAGGACCAGGTAACACATGTCCATTTGATTGTTCATATGGGCCATCATGTGTTCCTTCTTTGACGATAAATTAAATATTTGCAGATTCGTCTTATTAATATGTGTTGTGTGTTACACAACTATGCAAGGGATAGGCAGCATATGAGAGATAATTTGTTGCTTCCAGAAGTCGACGCTGAGCTAGCGGCTATGAATCCTTAACCTGCAGATGATGCTACTTCCATTAGAAGTGTCCAACAAACAAATGCACGGTCCAATTTTAGGCAGCAATTTGCGGATGAGATGTATGTTGAGTACCTTGTGGCGCATGGAGAACTAGGGATCGAGTAGATAAGTACCGATGGAGTAGATAGCTAGCTGATGGTGCCTTTTTTGTGCTAGCTTGGTGATGCCCTTTTTTGTGTGGTAGCATGCTGGCTGTGATGGTGCCTTGTGTGTTATGGGTTGTACATGCTTCATCTTTTGTTCGTACTAATATCTATGTTTACCTTACTCGTGCTTGCTCTTTTGTTCTTACTTTTATGCACATTCATTTATTTTACTTGTAGAAGCATGGCCGAAACAAAAGGAAAAAAAGTAGAGTTTACCTTACATGGACTCCTAAGATGGACACGACATTGTCGGTCGTCCTTGTTGAGCATCACAACAATGGTGACCATGCTCAAAATGGTTGGAAGACACATGTGTATAATGCTTGCATTAAGCATGTCAAGGATACATGTGATGTTGACATCACGAAGGAAAACATAACAGGAAAAATCAAAACATTTGACAAGCAGTATGAGATCATTACCAAGATGCTTGCACAGAGTGGCTTTGGATGGGATTGGGTAAAGAACATGGTGTCAGTTGATAGTGAAGAAGTGTGGTCTCGATATGTGGAGGTACTTGACACCAAATTTATTTTGTGGTTATTTTTGCAACTTTAATATCATCTCATTTTTGTGTTCTTTGTAGGCTAACAAGGAAGCACGTGCCTATAGGAACAAGGTAGTGCACAATTGGGAGTCTATCAATATCATATATTCAAAAGATCATGCGACCGGTGCAGGTGCTAGTACAGGAGCTGCATGTGTTCAAGAACCACAAGACACACCCGCTGTTGAAGAAGCTCCTGAGGTGCCTGAGAAGAGGCAACGCACTGGGGATGCTGTCTTGTGCATGATGGGAAAGATGAAGATGTATTTTGATGATGCTTTGAAGACAACCGAGCCACTTCCTATGCCTAAGATGACTCCTCCAACATAAATCCTTGCTGCACTAAAGAAGGTACCAGATTTGGAAGATAGTGGTATGCTGAGAGCTTATGGAAAATTGATTGTTAATGAGCGTTTGTTTGAAGCACTCATGGAGCTACCCGAGGAGTTAAGGAAGCCATGGCTCTTGACCTTCGATTAATTGTTACTACCTGTTTAGTTGATGTATGGACTACTATGTACTTTGATGTTTGCGAACTATCCACTTGTGCTATGTGTAAGAGACATAAAACTATCTACTTGTGCTATGTGTAAGAGACATAAACTACCAAAATTATTATCCATGTTGTTTTCTTCGTACTTTAAAACTATTTTCTGGCATCCTTGCTTTGTCATATTTTTTTCTACTTGTGTTATTGTTTTGGCCTTATTCAGAACATTTTAATGTTATTATGTGTGTAAAATAATATATATATATCCACATAATACTTTTTTCATACATGTACAGAAGTTTCTATTGTCCAAACTTAAAAAACATCCAATTCCATGGTTTGTACATCCAAACAGCAATTGGAATTGAGTGCTACCCTGTGATTCCAATAATAAATTCCATGCACAACCAAACAATAGAATTCAAATTGGAGCCCATTTCCTTTCCATCTTGGATTTCGAATTTTCAGTCCAATTCAATTCCAAGCAATTTTTCCTACATCCAAACACAGCGCTAGGGCTTTTGGAATATTGGGGTATTTATAGAGCAAAGAGACGGTGCGGGAGGCCACCAAGGTGGGCACAACCCACCAGGGCGCGCCTGGGGCGCGCCCAGGTGGGTTGTGCCCCCCTCGGGGCACCCCTCTGGTAGTTCTTTGGCTCATCTTGTGTCTTCTGGCCTAGAAAAATTCTCCAAAAAGTTTCGCTGCGTTTGGACTCTGTTTGGTATTGATTTCCTGTGAAGTAAAAAACAAGCAAAAAACAGCAACTGACATTGAGCACTATGTCAATAGGTTAGTCCCAAAAATGATACAAAGTTGCTATAAAATGATTGTAAAACATCCAAGAATGATTATATAACAGCATGGAACAATCAAAATTATAGATACGTTGGAGACGTATCAGGGTGCAATACTTGTCAGCGGCTGATCAGACGGCTTGATCCTTTGTTAGTACCTCAGGCAATGTTCTCCGGCTTGTAGGCCGGAGGCAAGGACGAGATCCCCATGGACGCCACCGATGTAACATCCATGACGGCGGTGGAGGACGGGGTGGACGATATCTAGGGTGGATGATGGGGGCCTGCAGTGAGGATGGGGGAGGGAGGATGGACGACGACGATGGCTCAAGCACGAGAAATGGTGGACGGATGTGGGAGGAGGACGATGTACTTGAGGGATTTTATGCAACTTATGGTGACGTCGGACTATCTGGTCTGACGTGGTGGAGGCACCCGGACGTGTCCGAGCCTCCTTATATCCGTTTTAGATTTGGCCTAGATATGAGGAGTGTCGGTCAGCTCGAACATATAAATTCAGTATGAGGCGATCGTCTGGATTGGGTTATTTGATCTGTTAGTGACCGGTTGTGTGCCTAGTCATGGGGTCTCTCACTACTCTTTTGGTTTGGTTTATTTGACCGGTTGATGACCGGACTATGCGCCCGGTTGTTGGTTCTCTCACTACTCTCCCGGTCAGGGTCAATGTTGTGAGTGTGGCGATCAATACCAGCATTGCCATCGGCTCCTTTTCTTTTTCGATTGTTCGATTAGGGCCACTTTGATGCATAAATATGGCTACTCCGTATCTTTTGTTTATTCTATCAGCCTTTCCTGGTTCCCAAAGAAAATAAAAACACATTTTTCTGTGTGAAAAAAAACCCTGACATTAGCGAATATACATCATCAAAACGAAAGTCTATAATACGATTAAGATCTGCAGCAAACTAACCATAGAAAAACCGCGCGAATCATTCTCTTCCCCAACTGCACCGGAGACGAACAGGGAGGATAAACCGCTGCTGCCTACCTCCGTCGACGAAACCGCTGGTCCCTACCCCCATTTGCCGCTCCGAAGGCAGCTGGGGGTGGGGACCCCTGGCGCTTCAGTAGTCTATAAGCAGGCTTAAATGAGAACACTCCATTTTTCTCGGCCTCCCATGCCCAGAAATCTTCAACATCGATTATTGCTTGAGGCATATTTAGGATAGCATTTGCATCCCGTGCAATGAACAATTGTTGAACTAGGTTAACATTCCAGACACCTGTTTCTTCCTCTAATAGATTGGCCACAATTTGAACCCGATCTCGGATAATCGTGTAATCAGTTTTAAGGAGACAGTGCCCAATATCCAATTGTGGTACCAAATCTCAGTAGTCCTACCATTCACAATTGTTCGAAACAATCCCTTTTTAAGGGCATCCCAGCTAATGCATATAGATTTCCACATTGCTGATGAGCTCGCGGGGCAGCCAACCTACAAAACATCCCCATCTGGGTAATAGCGTCCCTTTAGGACTTCCGCACACAAGCTATCAGGCTTGATCAACAGCCTCCATGCTTGTTTAGCCAGCATGGCATCGTTGAATAATTGCAAGTCCCGGAAACCATGCCGCCTCTGAACTTGGAAACGGATATCCTCTGCTATGACTGCCAATGCATCCCTCGCTTATCAAAAGATCCAACCCACCAATACTTGACCATAACTACCATCAACTTTTTGCATAATCCTTTCGTCAACTTGAAGCAACTCATCGAAAAGGTGGGAAGAGCTTGGATCACCGCTTTGAGTAGAACTTCCTTAGCCACATAATAAAGTAATCTTTCACACCAACCTTGCACTCTCCCCCTAGACCTCTCAACAATAGTGATAAATTGCTGCTCAGTGAGTCGTCCTGAGGCCGTAGGGAGACCAAGATATTTCTCGGAAAGAGCTTCTCTATGGATATTCAGTATGTTGCACACCCCCATTTTTACAGAAGCTCCACACTTAGGGCTGAAAAATACCGAGCTTTTCACCCTACCACAAACTAAATACCTCCAGTATCTCGTTCAGCCAGCTAGCACTTATCGAATAAGTTTTCATGAAAACCAAGCAATCATCCGCGAACAGCAGATGAGATCCACGGAGACCTAAATCCCGCTTTAATTCCTCTATCAAGAGACACCCACTCCTCCTGGAAGCCTAGCTGGATCATTATGCCTTGTAAGTACGACCATTCCTCCTGGTCGTACGCTTTCATCATATCAGTCTTCAAAGCACACCACCCTTGTTTCCCTTTCTTTCTCTTCATTGCATGGACGCCCTCGTAAGCCGTCAATACATTATTAGTGATAGTCTACCTGGCACGAACGCACTTTGTTCTTCTGATATTATATCATCCAGAATTTCTCTGAGTCGATTTGCCAACACTTTTAAACAAATTTTGTAAATGACATTACAAAGAGAAATAGGACGGTACTGCGTAATATTCCTTGGATTTTTCATTTTTGGGATAAGTACGATTACCATCTTGTTAAGCACATCTAGCATGTGTCCACCATTCAAGAATTCGAGCACTGCCTTGGTTACATCCTCCTTAATTAAAGACCAGTGACGTTGGTAAAAACTAGCATTAAACCCGTCCGCCCCGGGCGACTTCGACGGGGCCACAGAAAACAGCGCCTGCTCTACCTCCATGTCAGAGAACGTCCTAAGCAGCCTCTGGTTCATTTCAGTTGTAATTCTGGGTTGGACATGGTGTAGCACCGCTTCAGTATCTACCACTTCTTGAGCTAAGTAAAAATCCTTATAAAAGGTCTGCACTTCCTCATGAGTATCTTTCCTACCTTCACACATCACACCATTAGCCTTCGGCAGTACAACAATACGATTACGAGACCGCCATGTTGATGCTTGTGCATGAAAAATTCAGTGTTGCGATCTCCCGCGTGTAGCCAATCAGCGCGGGATTGTTGCTTCGCCATTATCTCCTCTCTAAGGAGAAGTTCGTTGAGTTATTTTTGCTAACTCTTTATCCCTGCCCGAGGAGCCTCGGAATAGTGAGTTTGCTTTCTCTTGCTCAAAATATTTCCTCAATTTTCTGATTTTCTTCTTAACATCTTCAAACTTTTTATCTCTCCAAACAATAAGGCGAGATTGCATCTCATTCAAAGCATTGTTTATGCCTACCAAACCTGCTGCACCCGACCCCTTAGTTCATCCCTCCAACACCGCGGACTCATATGATTCCTCCCTTGCCCATGCGTTCTCATACATGAATCTCTTTGGCCCAATTACCTCGAGGTCCTCAGTTCCTTTCACTTTCACTGCGACCATACAGTGATCTGACTTGGGCGTGGGAACATGCTCCACTGAAGACGCCACATATACCTGCATGTACTCCGGACGAAAAAGTTTTTTACCGGAGCCGGGATGTACCGGTGCTTGATCCACCGCTCGCTCTTGTCGTCAAGATCCATGGTGTCTTTCCGCGTATAGCTCGTAAATGCACACCCCCCCCCCCCAACACACACACACACTATATGCTGGGAATATGACTGACACGCCTGACAAACCACATGCAGCACCACATGCACTCTTTTCAGAAAACGGATTTCAGCGAGTTTCACATTTCACTAGTTTCGGAAAACCTTTCAGTCAGTTTCACATTTCACTAGATTCAGAAAACACATTACACCCATTTACAAAAGTTAGATTTCACTCATTTTAGAAATCACATTTCACTATATTTAACGTATTTCACACCGAAATATGTGTCATGTGTATATCAAACAAATTTCACTCATCTAAAGAAAATAATTTCACACGGTGAGAAACATACTTCACTCAGTTCAGAAAACATATTTCAAAATTGATTTCACTCAATGAAAAAAACTAATTTCAATTATTTCAAAAAACCTATTCTACTAGTTTCATAAAACCTTTCAGTCAGTTTCATATTTCACTAGATTCAGAGAACACATTACACCCGTTGACAAATGTTAGATTTCACTCATTTTAGAAATCACATTTCACTATACTTAACGTATTTCTGACCGAAATATGTGTCAGGTGTATGGA